TTCATCTGGATAGGGCAATAAATGCGATCTGTGCTTTGTTTACAAAAATACATGGACAGACGGACGGACGGACAGACGGACGGACATGCATAAATCGACTTAGAATGTGATTCTATGCAGATCATCAAAAGGAACTATGGGTCTATCTTGTTTCCTTTTGCCTGTTACAAACAAATGCACAAAGACATAATACCCTGACCACCTTGTGGTGTAGGGTATAAAAATCCGTTAAAAAAATCCGAAATATGAAGAGAATCGGATGCATATTTCGGATTTTATAATAGTTTTTGTTGTACAAAACTTTGACCCTTTGTGTGGGAGGTACCAAACGAAATGGTCCGATCTTCACCATCTTTATAACAGATCTTTTGTTGATGGAAATATTGAGATACATTAAGTTTGAATGGAATCGGATGTTAATTTCGGGATTTATGAGCTCCAGGGATTTTCAAAATGGGGCAATCGGGGTTTCATTGACCGTTTGAAGGCCATAATTCGTGCCAAAGGTGACCACTTCGAACAAATCTAAACTTATTCTAAATTTTGAAGCTATTACCGACATATTTTGCTTTCATTCAATAAAATCTAAAGAAAAAATTGTAAAAATTATGGCGTTTGACTTTGTTGCAGTTTTTTATTGCACCCTGTTATTTTCACTTTTAGTACATAAATTTCGAATGTAATTTTCATAAAAACTATTAAGGCCAGATATATGGTTTATTCTGAGATCTATAGTGAAATTTTGTCTAGAATATTTCTTCTTTTAACAGCTTCCGTATAAAATTTTATGTTAACTTCAGGCACCAACTCGAGAAAGGTGATGCTTTCTTGTAGATGTTTGCATAAAATCGCACAAAATAAAATGTCTTTTTAGTATATATCAACTCCTGGTGTTTGGGTAAGATGTAAACTTTTCATGTCTTCTAGGACCTTTAATAGAATTTTACGACGAATAATTTTGTAGAATATTTCAAGTTTCTACGATCACGTTTAAAGGGAGATTCTCGGCATATTTTCACAAAAGGACCAAAAAGACCCAATTGTTGTCTAGCTTTAGGGTTACAATTTTACATAAAATGTAAGGAGTCCAAGAAATCTTAATTCGAAAATTCCAAGAAATTTGGAAGAGGGGGGGGGGGGGGGGGGGTTTGGTGTAGGTTGAATTTGCTCCCCCTATTTAGGTTACTTTGCGAAGTAAATTTTCAAAACGCCGATACACGTGTCTTCTATTGTTATGCCATGTTTACGTTAGAACTTTTTGTAGGGTTAACCTACTTTGAGAGGATTTATTTGAAGTAAAAGTAATGGAAATGACAATTTAAATCCAAATCCAGTGGGTTAACCCTCATATATACAAACGTACTGTTAGCTCTACTTTCATAATCTTTTCCCTATTATAATTGAAAAAATTTAAATTTGTAGTACAGTGTAATTGTCGTAAATTATATTTTATTGTTAACTAGTGACCGAATTGCACTATAAGTCTCTCCCATAAAAATTAAAATTTATTTTTATGCCTATAAGGGTCGTTAAAGGTTGTTTAAACTGACCGTTTGACGTACTTAGAGAGTTCTAACCATATTTGTTTAATGAAAAAAAAAAACAAATCCGTATTTTCTTTGAAGATCAGCATTCGTATTAGCTTTAAAAAAAATCCGCATAACACTGAAAACTTTGCCGTTTTTCAAAATAATTAACAATAGCTTCGCATTTAAAAAAAATCTCCACTTATTTTCAATATTTACATAGAATTGTAAATAATGGTGTGTCCAATTGCCATCGTCATCACAGTAACAGCAGAAGCAGCAGCAGCAACCACAACAACAATAACAATGATAAACTTTTTCCAGCCACGAAAAACGACAACGACAACAACAACGGCAAATTATAAACAAACGCAAAACAAATAAAGGTAACATTAAAAAAATTTGTAAACAAATAAACCCTCTTTTCAAATAATCATCAGCGACTTTTAAAATGCGACCGCCGGCCAGTCATTTAGTCATTCACACAGACACAGTCATCGTTCTGTGTGACAGCAGGCAAAATAGGTCTGTTATGCAAAGGCCCGTTTAATATCCTCCCAGTGCGTGATGAATTTTGTAATAATTCAAGAGTAATTGACAATTTATGTCATTAAAAAGTAAAACAACGACAAAAAAAACGTTTCCAGTGAAATTGAGACATTTAAGGCAAATCGAAGTGGCTTCAATCAGAACGAAACTTGAATCATTTATGATTCGTAATTTTGAGGGTTTTTTTTAAATGAAGGTATGTAATTGTTTTTGATTATGAGGAAAAAATCAGTAAGGAAAAGTGAAAAGCCGGGCGGGGCCGACTATACAGGGTGAGATGAAAAAACTGCAACTCGTCCAACAGCTGTTAATTTACAAGCGTACAAAAGCATTTTAATGAGAATTTTCCAGAAAAAAAGTTATTCGCGATGGAATTCAAGCGTGATAGTGTAAGTTCTTTATATTTGGCTGGAAAACCACAAGTGGCTATCGCTAGAGAACTCCAACATTTAAATGTAAATAAATCTTTTGTGTCTCGTACCATTTCTCGTTACCGTGATACTGGTGGACGGAAGAAAACAGCAACATCAGCAGAAATGGTTCGAAAAGTAAAGAAGCGACGTGAGCTTAACATATCGCAAAATTCCATTCGGAAGATATTGAAAAATGAGATCGTGGTAGAGCCATTGAAATTCCAAAAAGTGCGAGAACTTACACCGCAACAGAAAGAAAATAGGCTCAAAAGACCTAAAGAGTTGTTTCGTTTGGCCGAAAGTGGTGAACTGCCGAATTTGGTTTTCTCTCTCTTCGATGAGAAGACAATCGTTGTCCCGCAGTTTGTAATCAAACAAAATGATCGTGTTTACTTGCCAAAGAGGTCAGTTGAAAATGTGCACCTTCGTTTGGCCAGCAGAACTCAAGCGCCGGCCATGGTGATGGTGTGCACCGCCATAACAGCCGATGGTCGCTCTCCACTCGTATTAATCGACCGTGGCATCAGAATAAATGCTGAATATTATCCCGAAAATATTCTGGAGGGTGTATTAAAGCCTTGGGTACGCAAATCATTTGGCCGCAGACCTTGGACATTCCAACAGGACGCAACACCATCGCACTCAGCACGCGTCACCCAAGAATGGTTACAAAATGAGGTTCCTCGCTTCATTTCCAGCGCACAATGACCACCAGAATCTCCGGATACCAATCCATTAGACTATTGTATCTGGAGTATTTTGGAAAGCAGGGTTGGCACTAAAAAATACTAAAGCAAGCGCTCGCCGGAAATGGACCAAAAACGGCAGATCAACATTCGGGCAGCGTGTGACGTTTTCATTCGACGTTTGAAGGCCATAATTGTGCCAAAGGTTGACCAATTCGAACAAATCTAAACTTATTCTAAAATTTGATGCTATTTCCGACCTTTTTTCTTTCATTCAATAAAATTTAAAAAAATGTAAAAATTATGGCGTTTGACTGTTACAGTTTTTCTTTATCTCACCATGTACATATGGGAGCTAAAGCCATATCTGAACCGATTTTCAACAAATTTCACGGACTTGCTTCTAGACTGAATTCGTTCGAATGTGCTAAATTTGGTGCACAATTAACCCGAAATCGGTTGAAGATATATATGGGAGCTATATCTAAATTTCAACGGATTCTCACCAATTTCAAAAGGTTCATTTCAATCGGATAATAAATGCTACCTGCATTTTGTTCGCAAGAATACATGGGATGGAGACGGATGGACGGACGGACGGACAGACAAACTGACATGCCTAAATCGACTCAGAAAGTGATTCTATGAAAATTCTCAGATGTAACTATGGGTCTATCTCGGTTCCTTCTCCGTGTTACAAATAAATGCACAAATACGTTTTACCCTCAACACTATGTTGTGTAGGGTGTAAAAATAGTAGACTGTGAGTGTATCATAAAGTGACCTAAATGGAGTGGAAATGATCCACCTTCGTCAACATTTTTTTTTTAATTTTCGGATTAAGATTTCCTGAAATCCTTAAAATGTAGGTGTCTTTTGGGATATTACAATACAAGGTCCAATAGCTTTCAACATACTTGAAGTCTACCTTTCTTATTTGAAAGGCTACCCAGAGTAGCCTTAAGTTAATATATATTTTTTTTTTCAAAAAATGATTTTTGTGTCATAATTTTCCACTCAGTTTGTTTCATTATTAATTAAATATTCACAATTAATTCCAACGCACATGGCCTATGGTCGTGTAAAATACTAAATATTTATTCCAAAATGACCTAGAAGTATGTTTACATATTGCTATTTGCGTAAGTAATGTACGAAGCTATTCATTTTCAAATCAATTCCAAAAAGGGGAAATAGTTCAAAATTTGCAATCGGAATTTTTTTTGTAATCCCACAATTGTGGCTTAAGGTATTTTTTATTCAAGGCCTTGTTTAATTTTTTCATTACACACTTGTAGCTCATGGCAAACGCAATTGGGTTCAAACTTATTTAGTAGAATAATTATTGATAATTATTCAAAATAAATATTTAAAAAAAATAATAATTGGGAACATTTAGGCCGATAACTTTATATTTAAATCTATAATTTTGAAAAAAAAAGTAATAAAAATATTTACAAAAAACTTTGCTGTGAAAAAGATCTGCCAATAGAACTTGAGTCGAACCTGGAGAGTTTCTAGTGTATAATTCGCATATGCTAATTTGCAATAAGTTCGAAATATATACTACTTTCCAGAGAACGGCCCTTGTAAGCCATCATCCACACCAAATATGCCTGATGAGCCGCTTAACCAACGGCGAAACGCGTCGCATAGTGGTGAGTGTGTTATAGTGTCCATCTGGCTTTCCTTTTCACTGCAAATTTCAGATCATTAAGCTCGTCTCGAAAGAGAAAACAAACACATAAATCATAAAACATATGATCTTCGCCTTAACAAGGCAAAACTCAAAAATATTTATTGTTATGTTTTCTATCTCAACTCACCTGGGACGATTCTGCATAAAGTGTTGACCACCGAATATGACCAGCATATAGATGCCACAATAGTAGAATACCCATGTCCAGTTCTCCACCATCCATTTGCGGGTGCGCTGGTGTATGAAGTCATTTTCGAAATCGAAAATATACGAATAGTTGGGTGTAACACTGATGTCCATGTTAATCATGTTTGTGCTGTTCTTCTTTTACTTTTACTCTGTCTTTTTAAACTTAAAACTAATTAACTGAATTGAAAATTATCGGGCGGTTTTGATTTCTTTTTTTCAGAAAGAAAACAATTTGAGTTTTATACTCGTTCTTCTTCTTCTTCGTTTGTCGTGGAGTCCTTTTTATAATTCTTTTGTGTAAGATTTACACAAACAAAGTTAAAGGCTAAACACAAAACAAATCAAATGGGGGGAGAGAAGAAATCTGAAATGAAAAAACAGTTATTAAAAAATGTTTCTATTTAAAATTATTTATTAAGCGATTTATTGATAATTATTATTCCGCTTGAGTGAAAAATGTGCAAATCTCGAAATGGATTACATTTAAATATTGCTGTATTGTAAATAATGTTTAAAAAATGGGTGTTTTTTTCGCTCGCACAGTACCGTACGACGACATTCAACTTTTTCGATAATTACAGGAAAAATTCAGCAGATTATGAAAGTTAAAATAAGAAGACACATTTTCAAGTTCCCCAAGTTCCTAAGTTTTCAATATATTTTTTTTTTTAATTTTCGAATTAAAAATTCATGGAATCCTTGCATCTTGGGTGTATATTCGCGAAACCTATGTGGGGGAGGTACTTTATAACAGATCTTGCGTTGATGGAAATATTGAGATGTACCAAATCCTAATGGAATCGAATGTTAATTCCGCGTTTTATGAGCTTCATGGATGTTCAAAATTTTGAGCCTTTGTGGGGGAGGTACCAGAAGATACATATCCCATCTTCACAACAGATCTTGTGCTAGTAGGAATAATGAGTTGTGTGAAATATAAGGAGAGCCTAATGCTTATTTTGGATTTTATTAAAGGTTTTGTTATTAAAAACTTTGACCCTTTGTGAGGGAGGTACCAGAAGGAATGGCCCGATCTCTACCATCTTTACAATAGAACATGTGTTGATAGAAATATTCAGATTTGAAAAGTCTAAATGGAATCGCACGTTAATTTCACGTTTTATGGGCATAATGGATATTCAAAATTTCGACATTTTGTGGGGGAGGTACTTGAGTGGGCCGATATAACCTGACGCATATAATATTAAGATATGCAACGTTGGAGCACTATGGGATTATAGCTTCTCTTTCTATATATATATTCATTTTTTTTAAATTTCGACCTTTTGTGGGGGAGGTACCAGAAGGAGTGGACCGATATATCCCATCTTAACATTAACAAGAGTTGCACTTATTCAGAATTTTGACCCTTTGTGGGGAGGTACTTGATAAAATAGTAAAATCGGATTATCTTTCTGTGCAGAAAATATATTTTTTGGAAATTTCGGCATTTTGTGGGGGAGGTATCAGAAGAAGTGGACCGATATTGTCCATCTCCGAACTCGACCTGAGTTTGACAAAAATATTACGATGTACCAAGTTTGGAACAAATTGGATACTCCCTTCGAGAGTTATCGTGCGCACCAGCCAGACAGACAGACGGACGGACGGACATCGGTTGGATCGACTCGAAATGTCCTGAAACAGATTTGGTCCAAAGAGACCTAGGGTATTAAAATTAAACCGAAAAATTTCCTGTTTATATCATACACCACATAGTGGTAAGGGTATGACGTCTTTGTGCATTTGTTTGTAACATGGAAAAGGAAGCGAGATAGACCCATAGCTACTTTTGAGAATTTTCATAGAATCACTTTCTCAGTCGATTTGTGCCGTCCGTCTGTCCATGCATTTTTGTGAACAAAATGCAGGGTGCATTTATTGTCCGATTGCTATGAAATTTTCCAAACAATATTTGTTTGGCCCATGGACGAACCCTTTTGAAATTGGTGAGAATCGGTTCAAATTTGGATATAGCTTCCATATATATCTTCAACCGATTTCGGGTTAATTGTACACCAAATGGCTAATATCAGTCCAAATGTCCTGAATTTTGGCACATCCGACCGAATTCAGTCTAGAAAGACATACATCAAATATGGTGAAAATCGGTTCAGATACAGCTATAGCTTCCATATTTATGTTTCATCCGATTTGGAGTTTTAAATCCCTCACATTCGTAATATGAACTCCACAACAATGATATCTGGTACCAGATATCTTATAGAGCTCGAAAATACATTTGCCAAATTTTATCGAGATCGGCTCAGATTTGGATATAGCTCCCATATATATCCTTATTGCGATTTCAGGTTTATTGTGCAAATAATGGCTTATATCGGCCCAAATGCAGTGAAATTTGGACGTACGTTTTCCTTTGGTGGAACTCGGCTCCGATATGTATATTTTTTTATTATAGTCCTTTTCTAAGTTCTATCATGCACTTTATAGCAATGTTATTTGGTATAAAAGAAAAACATATCTCCGTCACATTTGGTTAAAATCGTTTCAGAATTCGGTTATGCCTCCCATAAATTAGTTCCCTCGGAGTCCAAATTATAACTGCTCTAAAGCCAAATCTTGACAGGTGGTATGATCTACTTCAAATAAATTATTTTGTTAAGGGAGCTCTACTAAATATGCATAGTGGTGTAGAGTATCATATAGTCGGCCCCCGCCGACTTTTGACTTTTCCTTACTGTTTTATTTCATAAATTATCGGCTACAAAAAATTGGAATTCTGAATCATTGTATCGCCTTCATTCTATGGCGTCTGATATTTTTGTGACCCTCCCCTATCTAATTAAGTCCACAATTTGTAGGTAATTGTTTTTCTCTTTTTTTATTTTGCAAATTACGCTTTGTAAATCTCTTTTGGCTTTCTCACTTCACTCATAAATCATAATTTGGCAAATCGGAGATTTTCATTTGTCACGTGCGAGCATGTTTCTCTTTGCCATTAGTTTTAGTCATTGCCAGTCTCTAAAACGAAGAAACCTGTCGCCAGAATGACCAGCTAGGAGAATATAAAAGCGGAAAAAAATAACACAAGAATTACTTTAAAGCTCATCATCTGTGTGACAGGCAAAACAAAAAAAAAAATAAGTAACAGCAACAACAACAACATGATGGGCAGAAGTCAACAACATGGCCGAGCAACAAAACACTTTGTAAAATCATCAGCCTGCCTTACACAAGTTTTGCTTTGCCGCCATCATCACCGTCATGTGCCAGCTGGCTAGCTAATACACAGAAAACAATAACAACAACAATACGAGTCAGGAAATAAAACCTATGGGGGAATATAAGTCGAAAGAGACAGTAGGTGTGTTTGTGAACTCAATAAATTGTACAAATTGTTAAAAGATTCCTATCGATAACTCAAAAGTCCAATCAATGAGTTAAGAGAAAGAGAGAGAGAGAGAGAGAGAGAGGGATAGAGAGACACTTTTATTAGTTGTCTGCAAATCTGCCCCTTTTTTCCCTCAGCCATATGGCTACAGAGAATATATGTCATTTAATGCGGTCAAAACGTGCTTTATTGAAATAACGGTTTTAGACCCTAGGTCTCTTTGAACCAAATCCGTTTCAGGACATTTGGAGTCGATCTAGCGATGTCCGCCCATCCGTCTGTCTGTCTGGCTGGTGAGCACGATAACCCTCAAAGGGAGTATTTGATTTGGTCCAAACTTGGTACATCGTAAGTTTCAAACTTAGATCGAGTTCGAAAATGGGCAATATCGGTCCACTCCTTTTCTGAATATCCATGAAGCTCATAAAACGCAAAATTAATATCCGATTACATTCATATTATGCACATCTCAATATTTTCATCAAAACATGATATGTTATAAACATGGTAGAGATCGGACCATTCCTTCTGGTACCTCTCCCACAAAGGTTCAATGTTTCAAATAATCAAAACAATCATTACATCCGAAATAAGCATCTGGTTCTCTTTATATTTCACACATCCCATTATTTCTACTAACACAAGATCTGATGCGAAGAGGGGATATATCGGGCAACTTCTTCTGGTACCTCACACACAAAGGGTCAAAATTTTGAATATCCATGAAGCTGATAAAAAGCAAAATTAACATCCGATTCCATTCAGACTTGGCAAATTTCAATATTTTTATCAAGACGAGATCTGTTATAAGTATGGTAGAGATCGTTTCATTCCTTCTGGTACCTCCCCCACAAAGGGTCAAAGTTTCGAATAACCAAAAAGATTATAAAATCCAAAATAAGTATTTGGTTCTCTTCATATTTCACATATCCCATTGTTTCTACTAACACAAGATCTGCTGTGAAGATGGGATATATCGGGCAACTTCTTCTGGTACCTCCCACACAAAGGGTCAAAATTTTGAATAACCAAAACGATTATAAAATCCGAAATAAGCATCCGGTTCTCTAAATATTACACACAACATAATATTTTTATTAACCTAAGTTCTGGTATCAAATTGGGATATATCGGTCATTCCTACTGGTACCTCCATTCAGGCACATCTCAATATTTTCATCAATACAAGATCTGTTATAAAAATGACAGAGATCGTATCATTCCTTCTGGTACCTCCCCTACAGTTTCCAATACTTGTCATAATTGCGAAACAAGTCGGCTATATCTAAATATTTCTCTTAACCAGAAATCTCGGAATTTATGATTTCGTATAAAATTGGACATAAATGTTCGATTTCCTTTAAATTTTGCAGGTAGCAATATTTTTCGAAAACCTTTTGTATGAAGTTTTTTTATTAGCTTTTACTTAAAAAGTTATTGCACAGACAGAGCCATTGTGTGTCGAAGAGAAAGAGAGACACTTGCAATAGGTAGATATGGAGAAAACTAATAACAAAATGAAAGAGAATTGTCATAACGTGCAAATTAAAATCTTATCTAGATATATAATACATACACAGATACATACATGTTTATTTATATACCCATCTATGTAGATGTGTTTACACAGCCAAGTTTGTTAACAGACATGTTGTGCTATCTATTTTATTTTATTTTTGCTAATCCACCAACAAATACCAATTACTATTTGTTGAGATTGCTGTTGTTGCTGTTTGAATAATAGATACGAAAAACCTACAGACAAATATCAAAAAAAATATATATATTTGTTGTTATCTTTTCATTACACTCTAAATGTAAATGACCACAAACATGAAAGCTACCAGGGCAATAACAAAATGAACGCAAAATATGGAAATTATCGTTTGAAGAAGTCGCCGAAAATCCCCCTTTTAACATTTGGTAGAATTATATGTACAGTGATTTTAACATTTGGTAGAATTATATGTACAGTGATTCAAAAAATAAATAATTAATTAAATAACTGAAAA